CATCCGTATATCACTTTATTTTAATTTTTCATGAATATGTTATAGAGACCAGTGTAAGCACATTTCCTTCTTTATCTCTATACTATGATTCAGGGGGTGTTACAGCTTGCCCTGAGCCGTGTCACTGCCACATTTGTAGAACAGCTTGGTCTGAATAGAAATGTGAAGAAAATAGGAACTAAGATATGTGGGGAAAAAAGGTTTGTACACTGAATACTGTGATTACATAGATTAATGGAACACGCTTCTCACAGTAGTGGTCCTTTAAGATGTACATTGTAATAATAGCTGAAATCTGCTCCCACTAAAAAATACATTATAGTTTATTTTTGAATAGCTTTCCTTAACGTTTCCTTCATGTGTTTTCATTTTCATTAAAAGATATTCCATTTTTTACTAAAACATTTGCCCATTCTCTTTAGCTTTTTAAAAAAAATATCTTCCTCCACCTCAACCATCACCAAGTAACCATTCATGGTGCCTACTATTGTCACCATTTATAAAAAGCTCTTTGAAAATCCAGAATAAAGCCTGAAGCTTTTCCTCATCGTGGCCGGAATGCAGAATTAAGAAACCATCTAATGTATGATGTATTATTCAAAAGACAAGGGCTAGATTTAGTCATTTTTGTATATTAAGACTGCTGTGTTAATTGGTGTCATAAATATTGAAACTCAAACTTTGAAATCTCCTTATTTTCAGGAAAATGAAAACACTTATCCCGTAGTATCAAGAGGTATATATTCTCAGCCAACATAATATTTTGTTTAATTATGTTGATGTTTATTCTGAAGATCTATAGTAAATTATTGTTTATAAAAGAGCATCTACTAACATTCGTAGATATATCTGTAGAAAATAAGTCAAGGAAAATAAGTCAAGGCAAGCTGTATTTTTTCCTTGAAGACGTTTCACTGGACATCCAACCAGCTTTCTCAATTCAGAATGACTTGTAAAAAAAAAAAATTATCTGGGAATAAATAGATCATTTTTTTTTGTACAAGTCATTCTGAATTGAGAAAGCTGGATGGATGTCCAGTGAAACGTCTTCAAGAAAAAATACAGCAAGTCCAGTTGCCTTGACTTATTTTCTACAGATATACCATGACCTGCATGAATGAGAACCTTCACAGACATTCGTAGATATGTATGATTTTCAAGGCTCATTAAAAAAAACAGTGTACAGTGTACAGAATTATGTAGGTAGGAAACCTATTTGCCAAGGTTTTATATGAACACATCCAAGAAATATACCTCAAGGTCCAGTGGATGCGAAAGAGACTGGTACTTCTACGAGGAAGGATGGCGCACCATCTGTTTTTCTGGACCAAATAGGTTTTGCATTAGTAAATTCCTGACATGTCACACAATGTATTTTTTTTTTTTGTAAATTGAACTATTATCATTAAAATAGAATGATTTGCTTGGCTTCATCCACTATCCCACAGAGAGGAATAAACACCTTTATTATTCGAATTTGTAATAAAAGACATGCACATAGCTTCTATTATAAGAAAACTCTACTTTGCTTCACAAAAACTCTTTCTAATGTAAAAACAAAGCAGATGCTTTGGCAGATGGGAGCAGTGTAAGCCAAGTTGTTAATAATCTGAATAGAGCCTAGGCTGTGAACTTTGAAAATGAATTGTTCCGCAGTGCCTGCAACTTCAGAGGTCACTGCAGGCTTGTTGTAAAGCACATTTACTGCTTACTAAAAAACTAAAAAGTGTAAATATTTCTATGTCCATGGCCACAATTACACTTTAAAGGGCATCTTTATAAAGCAGTGAATGTGACATTCACCAAACATTCACCAGGTGAGTAATAATTTTCTTTCATTTAAAACACCTGCAGTTAATATTTACTGCATGTCACATTCACTGCTTTATAAATATGCTGCTAAGTTTAAAAGACTTTTTATGGGGTTAGATTAAAATGACTTTTTTACTATTAAAAAAAAAAAAAAGAAGCCTAGCTTGGAAAAAAAGAAAAGCATTAATACTTTCCCACCTCCCCACCTGCACTGCCAATCTCTGCCGTCTTTAAGAGATAAACTTGGGTTAGGGTTTCAAGGGTTACAACTTCTACTTGCTTCTCATTCTTTGTAATGTTAAGAGGGGCTGTAAATGGTGAAGGGTTAAAGGATTACAACCCTGGCTTGCCCATTGTATAGTATAGAGGTCAATGAGGGAAACACAATCTTCAAATTTCAGTCCTAAGTCTTTCTATAAGGACAGATCACTGTGAAGGTGCTGAGAAAATCTGGAATCGGCCACGTTGCCTGCTGCAACAAAACATCTAAAAGATAAGAAATATTTTTTGGTATGCTGTGTGAATGGGAACACAAAAAAATACTGTATATAAAGGGTTTTTGTTTTTCAAATTTGACTGCAAACCTTGAAATACACTTTAAGAGATAAATTATTAAATAATTCTCTACATCTGACACTTTTGAGAGTGTTGGATGTCTGCCTTCCCCATTGAGCCCTGATGGCCCCTACATCACAATAGTAAAAAAAAAAGGTCCCTAGCACACTTTCAAGTTAGCCAACAACAAAAACAAGCTAGTCTGTTTAACTACTCAGGTTAAAACAGAAGTTTTAGTTACATACATCTGCAGACACTGTATATGCGGAAGCCACACTGCTGTGTCAAAGCATCTATAATAAGTGTGGCCCCTAACTCTATTTGAGTTTCCCAACTTTGGGACATATATAGCAATGCACAGAGAGTGGACACACCAGAAGCCCAAACAATACCTTCACAAGGAAGCTGAAGACTTTCAGTGTGTGTCTGCACCGAATAAAACCAAAACAAATATGGCAGCTGCTCAGATCTAAAACTAGCAAAAAAGGATAAGGTGCAAAAGGTGTAAGGTGTTAAGGGATCATTTTAGGGGATGGTTAAAGTGATGCTGCCAACACCACCCCAATATAAAGTAAACATCCACAAAAGTTTATTCAAAAACCAACATTCCTGGTAGTGTCAATCTCCCGTGTGCCATGCTTTGCCCAGTGGTTCATCCTGACGACTCCTGTATCACTACAGTATCCATTGGTGACATGGGGGTCTGTTGGAGGACAAAAGATTAGTCAGCAGTATGGCCTGTAGCCTCCATACAGCTGATCGTTCTCCATTTCTAACTTGCCATGTCTTGTTCTTCACTGTGTTCTGTGTGAAGGCAGCTATCTTGATAGAGACAGGGCTTTGCTTCCTCATGTTAGAGTCCAACAAGAAAGAACAATGAGCAGCACAGTAGTGACATCACCAAATCTTACTCCAATCTGCTAAGACCAGCAGTCAGAGCCAGCAGTGCCTTAGATCTCATACTGCAGATATGCAACTATGAGACTGTTGGCAGAGGAGTGCCTATGCACGCTCACATATTAGGAAGCGAACTGTTCTGGAATTTCAGTAAAAAGGTACATTTTCAGGGTACTACTTAGGCACAATTAACATTTCTAGATCTTTCTTATAGTGTAGCAAATCTTCACTTTTTGAGTTCAGCTCCACTTCAGGGTTCATTTCATTTGATGGTTATTTGTTATTAGTTATAAGGTAGGGAAGGAGGTTAGGTGCTGGAGGTGTTTTATTGCAGGTGAAAAAACACTGACTACTATTTACACTGGTTCTCAGCATTGGGAGCATCTAACAAAAAACACAAGCAGACACCAGCAGAAGATTCCTAGCTAACGAAGACTTATGTATCCAGCTTTCTCCCCTTAAGGAGCGCTATGACAAAAAATATTGTATTCTAATATAGAATCCAATTACAGCACATAATTATAATATTGAGCATATGAAACAGTTATTGTTTTAAATGCCTTTATTCATATTTTTCTTCATGTGAGAGGAGTCAGGATGAGCTTTAACACATTCTCAATTGAGGAAAAAAGTAGTATGTAGTTACAAAGGGTCTGCAACTGAGCATGCACACGTCTACTGTATGTCTTAAATTCAATTTAATCTGGACTTGGATTTTAAATCAGCATTGGCCATGAAATTATACCAACATTCCTTCAAAACTAACTTTACCAAACCAGCAAGGTATTCATTTTGTGCTGGAGTGCAAAATTTCAAGACTATGACTAACCAGTACACATGAACTTAGTAGCTCCTTTATAAAAATGACAGAACTGAGAGATTTGGTGTCTGGAGTTACCTATAACCCTTCATTTGAGGCAACATACTGCCGTCAATTAGGTCCCATTCACACAAGCCCACCGGCTAAAACTCTCCGGACTAGTTTATTTAATTAGCTCTGGCAGGAGGATGTATGATGTGCTGTTTGAGTGTGTCACACTATTTACTTTTACCTTTTTTTAACTTTATTTGTAATGTACAAACTGTACACTGTATTTAGGTCCCCGCGCAAAAGGGGACCTAAACATTTCAGTGCGTTGCAAAAAAATGCAACATGTCTGCATTTTTTTGCACAGCACCGAACATAACATCACATTACAAGCCAGTTGCTGATAAATGCTACTTACCACATATAGTGTGAACAAGCCCTCAATGTCAACAATGTCAATGGTATTTTTTATATCTTCCATACAGCACCACTTAGACTGGAGGGGAAGGGGGGGTTAGACCTCTGAGTCAATTAGTTCTTTGTGGCTTTGCACAGTGCTTTCAGACTAACACTGTGCATATATATAAAGACAGGAAGAGCACAGGGGTGGCTTTAAATAGTTTCCAATGGCAGGTCCCTGTAATAGAAAAAAATAATATACTTCTTCTATTTCAGGGAATTGTCCAGAAATAGACTGGTGCAGATTAAGGCTATATTAGTGACCTACGGTGTATTTTGCAGTGATGCCCAGGACCTGCCTGAATTGGAAAAATTGCTAAACAAAATTACACCACACTATGAAACTGTGTTGTGAAGTCAGCTTTTAAGTCTACTGTATTTTAATAACTCATGTGAGAATAGATTTGTTTTTATTTGATCAGGTAAATGTGACAAATTCATTTTTCTGAGTACATTTTGCCATCACGCAGTTAATTGCAGGGATCAATCTTCTCTATTTGCATGAACTGTTCCATAGCTCTTTCACATTTTGCCAGGGAACAATCAGAACTTCAAATTTGCATATCTGTAGAAATATGGAGAAGAAAGCATACACAATCATAAATTTACTGCAGAGAAACCCTATAAAAAAATAACCTAAAAATGCAGTGGCAACAGGTGATTAGCCCTGAGCATTGGTTTGTGAAATGGAAACATATAATGGTGTCATTTGGGCAGTATATTATTAGTGCTGCTTCAACTCTCTGATCAATCACTGGTTAGTCTTCATTAGATACAATAAATCTACCAAGGGGGAGCTGCTATTAAAGCTACGTGGCAGTTTATAGATAGAAGATCAACTTCCATATTAATTACAGAAAATACATTTGTCATCCGATATAGTATTTCATGTTAAAGCTGACCTTGTACCTAAAATGCAAGGTCTGCTTATTTACCAAGGGCCCCCTCCCCTATGCCAAAATGCTGCAATAAATATCTTTAAAAACATCTGCCGGCTACACGTAGGCAAGGGTGACATCATTATCCTTCTAATGAGATCCTGGGGGAAATCTGAGTAGCCCAGACCTCACAAAAAGATGCTCCAGCATTGCATAGTGTTTTTGCATGGGAGAGCATCTATGCAAAGCCCCCCAATCCCTCTATGCTCACCCTACCTGCAATTCCTCACAGTTCCTTTCTCCTCCGTATCCGCCACTGAAGTGACTGGTGTTGGCGACCCTGGAGAATGGTGATGTCACTCCCCCTTGGACAGTGCTCGGGTCTAGTGATTTTCTGCTAGACCAGAGCACAGTTACAGGGAAGGAGATCACATACTCCTTCAAACCCAGAAATGCTGAGTATTTTGGACAGCTGTGGAGGAAAATAAGCAGAGAGGGAGCACTTGTATGGTGGTCGGGTGGGTGCTTTGTACAGGCACTGCCACTTTGCCCTACAAAGATGTAAGTCTTTTCTTTACAGCATGCTCTAATTTTCAGGTTTCTATTCTGGCATCATACAGTCGCTTTGATTAAAAGTGGAGTACAGGACACCTGACATACATCATATAGGAAACACTAGTAGAAAAAACATGTATTATTGCAGCAAGCTCTTACCTTTGTTTGATGCATCTCATCTGGGCATTGTTCTGTATCAAAATCTTTACAGGAGCTCATAGCAACTTCAACTTCCATTCTATATTTTGTGCCAGCAACAATCTAGGTCAGGTTAAAATTAATTAAGTAAATAAAAACATAATTAAATAATGACAGTAATCGCAAACCTTAAGGTGTATGCTAAACCAAAATATGTTTTTGTTTGTTTTGGATCTAGGACTGTTAGAGATATTTCTTTTACTTCCTGTCCTGACAATGTTTAACAAACAGGAAGTAAGACAAAATCTGACAAAGTGACACAGACAGCAAACAAAAATAAAAATAGAAATAATTATAAATATATATATAGATGTATAGATAAAATAGGCGAATGATAAATATGCCACAAGGCATCTCTTTTTCTTTAGTAGAGTAGGGAAAGGCTAAAACCCCTAAAACCAGCACATTTCTACTTGGGAGCAAAACCACCGTGATAAATAAAGCGAATGTACAAAATCAAATCTTGACTGAAAATTAGGCGAATGATAAATATGCCACAAGGCATCTCTTTTTCTTTAGTAGAGTAGGGAAAGGCTAAAACCCCTAATATATATATATATATTAGGGGTTTTAGCCTTTCCCTAATATATATATTAGGGGTTTTAGCCTTTCCCTACTCTACTAAAGAAAAAGAGATGCCTTGTGGCATATTTATCATTCGCCTATTTTTCAGTCAAGATTCGATTTTGTACATTCGCTTTATTTATCACGGTGGTTTTGCTCCCAAGTGGAAATGTGCTGGTTGAAAATAGTATCAAACAACATTGCCCACATTCACCCTCATTTGCTTTTCAATTTTAATTATTGTTCTATTCATTCTTTTTTCATTCAAGTCAATGTAGATTCATTCAGAAATTTGCCCAACATTCAGCTGTTTTTGCCCCTTGCACAATATCCCAATGTTTCCCTGGTTTGCAGTGGGGAATGTGCATTTCAAAGTGCTTCTTTGTTTTGGAGCTGTAGATGTTTTTTGTCCGTGGAACCGGTGTATTTAATACAAATGTAGCACATTGTTATTTTTATTTACTTTTTTTGTTTACAAAAATGGTATGACCCCCCAACCATTTCCCAGAACCAACCAGCCCAGCACACTAGGCATGCAGGCTGATATCTCCTAGCAAAGTAGCAGCAAGTGTGCAGCCTGCCTGCTGTTTTGATAAAAAGCCACATGGGTGCTTCAAGAGTGTTTTCCCCCCAAAATAGGATCCAGTGATCAGGAGGGAGTGGGGAATGTAGTCACCATCTTCCTAGTGAATTGGTTTTAGGGGTCCCTTAGACCAGTTCACCATAAGTGTGGGTAAGTGAAATTGTTAAAAAAGAAGAGACCACACAAACATTTATATTATTCTTTTTAACTGATATTTACCTTTCCAAGGTCCAGCAATGTCCAAAGATGTATTGTGGCATATGATCCAGCATTGTTGGATCAGAGAGAGGAAGGAGAATCATACTCATTCATCCTCTCTGCTGAAACTCCAATTTTTAATATATTTCCACACTTGGCATGGTTTTATTAGCGCACTGATGACTCTTGGATGGAGTTAACTGTGACATCATTAATCATCGCCCATATCTGGACTAATGAAGCTAAAATATATATGTACCTTATCTTCTATGGGAAATGTTTTCTAAGGGGCTGAAACTGCCATTATACATAGTTTCAGCAACATGGACAGCAATTCCAGCAGAAGAGTGAAAGGTTTCTCATTATTTAACAAGATTCAGATTTGTCCAAAGAATCACCATAAGATTCGAAAATAACCTTACTTTACTTTAGACAAAATTTGCCCATCAGCTGGGTGCATAATAAATAGAGTGAATGTCGGCAAAAATAGAAGGGTGAATCCCATTGAATCTCACATGATTGAATAATGTATTTTTCTACTGGACAAATTTCCCCGAATCTTTGATGAATATGTCCTCTTGTCCGGCTACCACTTCCATTAGATAAAACCTCTCTTTAGTAGTTTGATGGAATTGCCAACCAATGTCAGAGAAGCCAAATTTGTATGGTTCGAAAAGCTGCCTACATGAATCATGAAGTGAATTTAGAACAAGGATGTGAATGTGACAAGTGACAGAAATTGTTAACTCAGACTCTGGTTCCAAACAGTCTACCTATCTGCTACAGTCATTATAGGGGATTTTCTCTCTACCTCTTGGCTTTTATTTCCAAGTATTTTGCAGCATAAAATGTCAGTGCTTTAGAGGATAGAGCTAGGAAGTGCAGTTGGATCAAAACAGATCACAAAACAACATTGACGCCAGAAGAAAGCCATAAATCAAACCGGTGCTTTGTCTATACAGGTTTACTTAAAGTGTAAGTAAACCTAAAAATAATAATTAGTGAAATAGTTACTTACCCCCTTCCCCTTACTCATTCCAGTAGTGTCATTCTTTTCTTTTCTTCAGTTTTCATTTTTCTTACCTGGTGATCCTTGCCAATTACTCCACTTCTGGTCCTGGGGCGACAATGCTCACTGAGCACTGTCGCATTAGGATGCATGCTCAGGGCCGGATTTACTCCACCTGCCGCCCTAAGGCCAGGTTCCACAATACGCCCCCCCGCGCCACTAGCCCCCCTCCCCATCAATTGAGAATGGCAACCAGATGGCGGGCGGGGGGGGATTGTGGAACCTGGCCTTGGGGCGGGGCTACTTTAAATTTTTTTTACTGTTTCTTTATTTTTATCACTTTTTATTTTTTTATTCAATTATTTCTTCTTATTTTTTGTATTTATTT